AAGTTTAATCTGTCGATGCTATCAACTGGTTCTAATCTTGTCATGTTCTAATGGTAATTCTCTACTTTCTGGTCTAATCAACGAAACGCATTTTGACCAAATCCCCTTTCATCTTCACATTCTACTTTCACTCTTATTACTAAATTTACACCTTTGGGCAGAAGTACTTACAAAAGAAGTACCGGCATGGCTTACTGACGCACGGAGACCTGATGGATATGGCTGCACACCAAGAATAGACATTTCTCCACTTCAAAGATTCTGCTGTCTCGGAGCTGGTCTCGTGAGGAAGAATAGATAACCCCAATTATCCAAACTCAATATGTACTTGATCCACTCTCCCAACCCGTTGACAGAGTGCCGTGTCAAAGGTTCTAAGATTCCTGTAAATGCAAGCAGCATAAGGGCTGGCTGATTGCATACAAATAAATGGTCACCTGTTCAACAACGTTGAGCTGTATGACCCAGTTTATTTGTGGTGTATATGGATATCAGATGGCGTACTGCCACACGAGAATGAAGTATGTCGTAACTGTACTGATTAATTTATGCTAAAATTGTTTAATAATTGTTAATTCCCAGACGCGATTCAGCACATTTATTAATTATATCAATGTAGCAATACAACTTGTGTTAAAACTTCAGAGTGCTTATTGCCACACGCGATACAAGACCCAGATAAATTCATCGATGTAGCAATTGACAATTATATTATATATTTGTTGTGTACTTGAACATCAGGCGGTGTATTGCCACATGTCATACATGACACCGATGAAATCATCGATGTAGCAATAGGTTCTTGAGTATTTGAACATCAGGCGGTGTATTGCCACACGACATACACGACACTGATGAATTCATCGATATTACAATAGAGTCTTGAGTACTTGAACATCAGGCGGTGTATTGCCACACGACATACACGACACCGAAGATTCATCGATGTATTAAAAGAGTCTTGAGTACTTGAACATCAGGCGGTGTATTGCCACACGACATACACGACACCGATGAATTCATTGATGTAGCAGTAGATTCCTCAGTACTTGAACATCAGGCGGTGTATTGCCACACGACATACACGACACCGATGAATTCATCGATATTACAATAGAGTCTTGAGTACTTGAACATCAGGCGGTGTATTGCCACACGACATACACGACGGTGAATTCATCATGAAAACATTGAAAAAATTCCCAAATCATCAAAGGAACCAGTTCACCACTAGACTGGTCTATATAGCAAGTTTCAACAAGAAATCTTAACGTTTTTTTAGTTCTGCTCCGGAAACGAAAAACATCTTATTTTCCTCATGAAAAATCATGAAAACAAAATTAAAAGAATACAAATCACAAATGTGTGTATGTATATAATTGGTTTTATGTATCTGTTTTCACTGGACGATGAAGGTCGGCCGCGGTAGGAATTCGTATCAACAGATGACCTATTCATTAAGGTTTACTGGAATTGTATAGCTGATATCAGCGTGGATGTCAAGATAATATATTATTTGCAAATATTAATTCTCAGATAATCATCGATTTATCGGCTGTTTTTCGCATGTTGTCATTTACGTCTGTGAGGTCCTCTTCGACAGTTGTAAAAAGACATCGTACGTGAAGTCGCATAGAAGCAATCAATACAACATGACGTCATCCGCGTTTCATTACGACTCGAAATGTATTGTAAGGTAGTAAATATTCCGACGGCTGCAGAGAATTCACTTTATCTTGGTGATTTGTCAACCATTCATTTGCATTATTGGTGTTTAACTGACATTTAACATGACGTGGTAACATACTGCAAACTAAATCATTCGCAAAGGATGTATATTTTCGTAGTGTGAAGGAACTACATGTCTTTGTCACATCTAATCAATCCGAGAACACATGACACACGTGACAACAAAAACCTGCTTTATTATTGTAGGAAAGCACACATCTTGTATACATACTAGTATTTCATTTTTACAGTCGGTCCCTTTACCTCCAGCTCTTCATGCTGCTTGGCCAATTGTTTGGGATATTTATTCAGATACATTATTGTAGCGAACATTAGGTTTTAGATCTTTTCTTGAAAGAAGATCCGGGGTAGATAAGGTCTTCAGCAAACCATGCTTGTCGTTAAAGGCGATTATGCGACTTGGTTGAAGCATGTCATCGTATCCCAATTTCGTGGATCGATGCTCATGATGTCAACCACTGGACTGTCTGGCTAAGACTCGATTATTTACAGACCGCCGTCATATAGCTGGAATATTGCTGCGTGCGGGGTTAAATACCAAACAAACAAAAACAAGAAATATCCATCACGTGGTGACTGCGAGCGACTACATTCATTGCTAGCATGAACAGAAATAACAAATACGTGCAGATGAAGTATTTGAAGGTATTGACCAAGTTCGTGATGGAGTACCAACCTTGACTCGAACTGCAACAACGTGATCATTTTCATATGGCATTTGAAATGGTTACTGATTTCAACTTGGGTTCTCCAATTAAACGCAGGTATGAAATTCAATTCAAAAATGATATTGGCGTAGTGCTTATATGACTCGATGTTCATGCTCATATCCTCGTAGCCAGTAACATACCATAAAAAACAGAGTAAGCGAGATGGTTTTATTGTATATCACTCAGACAGTATATCATATGCATGATACAACGTACAGCGTGTTATTGTGGATGGGTATTTCATAACACACAGGATCAACATAGATATATGAAGGCATCTCTCTCAGTGGAGAATACATACTTTATTCTGCCATGAAACTTTTGTATACGATGAAGTATACAACTCCGTGTGTATTAAGGATATGAGTCATCACTGCAAATACGATGGGCACACTGGAATATATGACCAGAATGTTTCCAAAAAGTTTTTTTCTAGTCTTACGTGCAATAACCTATTCTTCGTTTTGGTCACCATGCTTTCATGACGTTCAATAATGTGTTAATAACGAAAAACAAACTTGTTCAATATCAAAATGTATAAAGGAACAAATGGGTTTATCCCTAAAGCATGATTTTATATCAAAACAAAAGAACCATACCATGTTATGATTATCCCATATTAAGTTGCAGTAAAATGTAATTGATTTACTACCCTTTTGTAGTCAGCTGGATTTGAAAATCTCACATTAAAGGTCAAATTAATACCTTTTCAGTAGGAGATAAATTTACCAGTGGGTGAAAGGTTATGGGATAAGTATAAAAATAAATGGAATGTTACATTTTCAAACAAAAATACATATGTTTTAAATCTAACAACATAACAGCATACAAATAGTAACGAACTGTTACATTAAACGCTATATAAAATGGGCATGTGAAAGTTATGTACATAACTGTTGTTAAAGTTTTCAATAAGCAATATCCACATTTGTATGCGACTTGTTGCAATATATCTGATATAGGCAAACAGTTGATGTCATCAGGATTCAATCAAATGGCATAAATGACATCAGACATAACAAATAAATCTGGTTGTCGCACATAATGTCATTTCCAATAGTATGTGAATGCTCTCTAAAACATCGCAGATTCGGAAAGGCTGGAAAAAGAAATCTATTGACCTCCTAATGCGATTGTTTTTTTGTCAACGTTTATGGTTATTGTGTCAAATGGCAATACAAACGAACTTGGACAAATGACATTATATTAGGCTTAGGCGAAGTTAACTGTGTGGATGGCATGTAATCAATTCTTTAGTCAACGAAAACTAGACAAAAGCTCATCTTTCCTCCATATTAACATAGATACAGACGTAAGTTGTCTGTTTGACTCGTCATTTCTTTAAATATAACTCTAATATATAGTCATAATGTTAGTCAATAATATATTGACACGGTTGATCATGCGTTTGTAAAGGTAGCCATACTAAGTTTCAAACATAATATACATATACATGTGATCGAGTAATCTATGATGACATCTCCACTTTCACACAAAAAAATTACATCTGAAAATCAAATTTACAACAACAATAATAATAATAATAATAATAATAATAATAATAATAATAATAATAATAAGGGACATAATCTCAATGTCATTGTTAATTTTGTTGATGGTTCTGTACTGCTGGACGGTACAGAAATGAGTGTCAACCAAGCGAAGTGCAATATCAAATCGGCCCTGACTCAGGTTTTCTAAGAGAGGCTCTCTGAGCGACCACTGCATCGATTTAATGTACAGTATGTTGAGAAGGTAAGCAATCCCGAGGAGTCCTTCGCTTGGATGAAGTCGGCTGGCCTGAAAAGTGAAACAGAAGGCTTTGTGTTTGCTGCTCAGGACCAGTCACTTCCCACTCGAAACCGTCAATGTGTGATTTTGCATCAAAATGTAAATATGTAATGTAGATTATGTAATGAATTTAATGAGACTGTCCACCACAGTGTCATTGGATGCCCGCAGTATCTTAAGCGACATGATGGTGAAGCTTGATCATGTTATAACCGTCTTCGCCATGCTTGTGGTTTTGACACAGAGGTCCATCCATGGTACGACCCGGAATATGTTCAGGACGTCATGGAAACTGATACGTACAACATTCTTTGGAATAGGCCCGTTTACAGTCTCCGACGTATCCAGGCCAACAAACCTGATCTTGTCCTTTTCGATAAATCCAATGAAATCATTTATATCATTGAATTTTCTGTCCCTTTTGACACTAATGTGATTGACAAGATTGAAAAAAACATGGCAAATATGCGGACCTCGCTTTCAAAATGTCACGCTTGCATCCCAAGTACCAAACTTTTCGACTCCCCATTGTCCTCGGTGCCTTAGGTTTGGTACCTCCCAATCTGTTGACTGACATTGGGAGAGTACCCGGGTCTGCCACCAGGAATACAGCCCTTCTGACAATCTGGGTAATGCAGAAGGCTGCAGTGTTGGGGAGTTTTCACATTTTCCGAAAAGTTCTGGATGGGTTTGACTAGGCAGCGCTTTCTCGGAAAAGGCCCATTCGCTGTCTGGGCTGCGTGTAGAGGGGGCAAGGGCCCTGAGCTGATGATGAGCCAAACCAGCTTGACTGTGCCAGGATCACCCAAACCCTCTTTGCTGCATTTTTTTATTTTAATCTGTACATAATAATACCACAGCGACAAAACCATTCCATAACATAACCAATCCATTGTACGATAAACACATTGCAACAAAGCAGTATAATCTGCCAACTAGACAAGCCCGGCAACAAAGTCATATTATGTATTTTCTGAACACCATACTTGGGGCGAAAATGTTTTCTCGAACCAAACATAAAGACAATAGCTTGGAGGGCCAAATGGAAATTCATGCTTCCAAAACAGTGTACATCGTATCATCGGTTAATTCATCACGCTGAAACATAATCGCAGTCATTTAATGACAACGAGGTACCCTGCTCCTCTCGTGGTTTATTCAATAGAGCAAAACACGCATATTGTTACGATCTTTCCACATTGTGTTATGATTGCACACGGTGATAGCTGCAGTAACAAACAGATAAATATATATATATCAATACATAAATAGTTTCCACGAATCTATAATATGTTCCTTCTCCAAACTTTACAAAACAACATAATATGCCGTTACCATTCTTGTGTGTATTTACAGAGATAGCATTTCGGTGTCAAACGTATTGTCAAATTAAGCGTCAGGTACAACAAAATCGGTTGTCGCCTTTTCGCCTTCTCAACCATTATCACTCATGGAATCACTATATAGAAATGCTAAAATATTCATATATACATGTGATAGTAGCAGTAAATGTTTTTAAAATCGTCTCGTGAAACAAATTCCTTTGGTTTATTCCAAGTTTCAATTTCAGATAAGAAGAATTCCAACTGTGCATTTTACTCAAGTGCTTTTGGCATATTTTGAATTTGAGAAGAAAGCCCAATTCGTGCTTGGGCCCAAATGAGATAATGAGGCAATTATGAAACGTCTTAGCCTCGTTTAACATGCCAATCTTTAAGCAGCGTCAACATTCTCCTTGAATGCCAAGGGTCAGTGGTGAAATGATTAACATTGACTCTGTTGGTAGATTTACTGTCTGATGTATGACACACACACACATCTAAACACAGATGGACTTGTCGACCCCAGGAACCACTCGTTAGCATTATGAGTGCTTATATCTGAAACTAGGTGATCGATATCTATCTTCAAGGCATAGCAGCTAATGGTAACATGTTTTAGCTTCAAAACATTATGTTAAACTAAACCCTGGGTATCACGCAATAGTTTGCATGATATATTTGTTTAAAGCAGGTGAGGGACAGAGAGTTTTATTTCCGGGTAGTGACTGTGGGGTTCTTGTGAAAAAATGCTTTGTTCCAGAAAATACTTCGAAAAAAAGATTTTGACATATCTTTACACATTGTGAAAAACATGACAGTGACCAACAATACCCTGTTATCCTAACCACTCCTCCAAAACCCTCCCACCACCACAACCCGGAATAGTAAATGGTTGGTCGACGCAAGGATTGACGATGGGTCACAATCTGATCATGTCTTAATGCGAACGGATCCAAGTTGTTCCATACATTCAACAAACTCAATGTTTGCAAATTGACAGTTTTGATGTCTGATTTGGAGTAACTCCGTACACGAATATGTACACATATGATCACACAGTGAATCATCGTTATTCCAGATTGTACCGCTCCCCATAAAATGTTCCTGATTAACCAATTTCTAGTTCAGCGAATCAATGACTGATGTTCCTTTGGCTGTTAAAAGACCCTCCCAACAAAATGGTTAGCGGGGTCCGTATTCGTAGGCTTCACTGTAACTACTTCATCATTTTAAAAAAAATTCTCTTCTTTTTCCATATAGTTCCTGTCGTACCTGCCAAGATTGCAATTAACCAATACAATTGCCTTAACACTGAAAAGGTCAGCCTATTTTGTTTTATCAGTTACGCTAAAGAACTGTGTTGCTTTTTCGCGTACTACGTAGGTTAGAACCCAACTTTAGTCCCCTTAACTTGGCCCTCATATTCGTGTTGCAAGCAATTTTGGAACTGCTGTCATTATATTTCACTGTCGAAATCGCTATTGACATCTCTATCTTACCGCCACCGTTAACCGTTTGAGTGCAACGGGAGAATGAGACAGGTTCCATGGATCGATCATATTTTGTGATTATTTCGTCATAAGGTTTTTTGTTAAAACGTGCTTGCGTTTTAACAACACACTTCTTTGAAGTCTGTAAAGCTGTTACGGGCCGACTCATCAATAATGTTCCGTGAGCAGCTTCGTCAGGGTGATATCAGCAAACTTTGTCTCTGTTATTAAGCAATTTGCTGTACGAACATGCTGGGGTCTGTTATTTTCAGGCACTGTAATAGTTTGCAATATAAACAGAGGACCATTCCTATACATGACTGGTTTCACTCCAGATTATCACAAGATATTGACCAAACTCCATTAGGCCTCTTATTATTCATCAACGTCTTTAAGTAAACGAATCCTCTGAGATTTTCCCAGTCTGCTTTGTTTGAAATACCTCATTTTATTGATCATTTGTCGATTCCAACCAGTTTAGTTCTAGGGATGTTGGTACTATGCCACGGGGAATCTGGTTCCAAGAGTTTTGGCTTTCTGAAAAGTTTGCATTCTGCACATGCCATGTCTCAGTAGTTGTTTCTGGATTGTTTTCACATATGTTCGAAATTATCATTTGCGTGTGGTTACATTCGTCATTTTAATCTTCTTCAATGCCGCATGTCCCAAATATGACGCTTCTTCTTGTTTGGAATGTAACATTCTCGGTCACATGCACACTTCTTGATCCACATGAAGTTCATTATTTCTCGTCGGCCAGCACTACATTCGAATTCAACGAACTTGGTCCTGGTTTTCTGAGGGTAACAACAACGGTCTTTTTTACAATTCGTACAAAATTTCATGTTGAATTCTTTCACACTTCGGCAGTCCTGGTACTCAACTCTATAACGCTGCCCACTGCGTGTTGTCGGGGTACACTTTCTACGGCCCTGAAATAAACAAAGATATAAAAGACTTAAATGAGAATGTGTGGGGTGAGGTTTATAGTTATAGTTCAGTTATATCACTGTGACATGGGGTAAGGTGCTCACAAACCAAAGATAATAATCAGGGCAATACTGGATTCAAACCCAGGATTAGTGGAACCTGGCATGACAAAGGGACACAACTCTGAACATAAATTGTATGTTTGTTGCAATGTAAAGCTGAATGCAAACAAGAAATATAACAAGGACAAAATGGCCGCTGAGAGATACTCTTCTTTTATGCAGTTAGTGCTTCGTTTTGATGATACATTTAATGATTCATACATCATTCATAACCAAAAAGACCAATGTATTTTGGTGCTTTTCAGGTCTTTGACCAACAGTGAAGTCCCCTGGAACTTCGAAAGTATATCAGGATTTTTGTTGCTCGAGTAAAGCTTCGGCATAACATGATAGTACTGGCATCATGACGTCATCGTCTTGTACCATATATCGAGTTAATGGGGTTAAGGGAACCAGATTTCAATTTTATTTCAGGAAATATTTTATTTCAATATTTTAGAACTTTAGAGATAACAACGGATCACAAACGCATGTCAACAGTCTGCGTATATAGCCTCTGTGTCAATCGATCCATTCCGAATATTCTTGAATGCAACATTCAACGTTACGTCTAAGGCTTAAGATACTGCATTCCATGAAACATACACGTCTAGATTTTCAGGAACCTTTCCCTTGATTTACGTCAGTTTAGAACATTACTGACCCTTAACATTCAAGTACATCACAAAGGGGCATCGATAGTATTGATAGTGCAACTGAGACCCAAATCCCAGCTCTTCCCCAGAAAGCACTCAATCCCTCTAATCATGTTTTTGTCAATGTGCAAATATAACGTCCATCCCATAATCTTGACCATCGATCTCTGAGCGCTTTCAATCCAAGCCTCCCCTGTCGACAGGTGCTCGGTTCACGCGGCAAGGATTATGTGACATCCTTACGACACAAATTAAACACAATTAGTCCGTCTTGAAACAAAATCAATATCATGTTTGCCCAAATGTGATCCGAGGTCTCGCGGAATCAATGATCAGGACCGAGGAGTTCCGAATGCTGATCCGATGACCTCGGAGAAGGAGATAACACAGGGATGGTCTAAGCTGCTCCAGTTTCTCGTACTTTGTAATATAGACTGAAATGTACAATTACCCGTTGATGTGAAGTACTAAATTGACTTAACCATCTTTTTGTACGTGTACAAAATTAAGGGCTATTGTCTGTAATCGAGATATAACATGCAAGGGAAATAAATGACCTCACAGGTCATCCAAGGAGAACCTTATATCTTAATCTTGAAACTCCGGCGTTAAGTATTCGACGATATGATTTAGCATTTTATACCAGCATAAAAAAATCTTGTACAAACTTTTTAAAAATACAAACTTTGCGGGAATACATTACTGAATATGCCCAGGAAAGAAAAGACTTCGAGATACAGATAATGACTCATTTCATAAAAAAGTGAGAAAGTGAAAATTAATATTTGTTCTTCGTTTGTAAAAAGTTGGAATCATATGATCACATAAAAATGAAAATCTCAAAGAACGAAATGAAAATAAAAAATATGTAAAAAATATTCATTTGAGAAATTCAGGGAAAAAATATATCATCATTCATATTCCCTCAAATCCGCCAATAAAACAATATGAGGCATGATACGTAATGGAGGCGAGAGGAAGCAATCGTTAAGGGGCATTTACACAGCGCAGAGGGTGAGACTCTGTTACTCGCGGCCACATCAGTGTAGTCTCCCTGCGGACGCCTTTGTCGAGGGGTAATCTGCCTAGTCCGCGGAGACCGATTCTTCTGTCACCCTGCAGTATCGCAATTCTTATTTTCGCTTCGTAAGTAATGGGCAGCTGACCACGATATCCTCAGGGGCACCAGTAGCCTTGTGTCCTCAGGTGGAGCGTGAATGAAATGTGCGTTGTAGCGAAAGGATCCTTCTTTGCAATGTGGTGTCGGGGAAACAAGGGAATTCGGTGCAACATTAAAGTATGTCTAGCGAGAAAAGCGCTCAATATATATAGGGACTATCATGATGCCAATGTTCGTTTATGAAGGAGTCCAATTTTATACATGAAAATAATCATCCCAAGGGCGCATTACATATGAGTGATCAGGTAACAATTTGATTGAGCCGTCAAGTCTTCCCAGCAACTTGCTACTCCCTACTGTTAAATGACAAAACCAACGACATCCCTAGTTACGTCATTGGAGCAAACATAATTGTCTCCCTAGCGTCTAGTTCCATCACCTCACAGATGCAGGTTGGCAGAACCAGTGCTGATGTTCGTCTTCAGGGATTGTCTCTTACACCTCGTCCTGATCAGCGTATAATGTAAGTGTGTGATTTAAACGAGTTCACCCACACTCAGGTTTTCTGTTCAACACTTAAAATAGATAATGTAAGAAGGTCACAGCTGTACTGTTATAACTCAGAGGGAAGGAGTAGAATTTTAGCCATATGCTAGCAATATCAAGAAGGGGGCCACCAGACAGAGGCTTCGCTGATAATAATAATAATAATAATAATAATAATAATAATAATAATAATAATAATAATAAAAGGCCATGAGCTTATGATGAGCCTAACCAGCCTGACTGTGTCCGAATCACCCAAACCCTCTTTGCTGCATTTTTTAAATTTTAATCTGAAAATAATAATAATAATAATAATAATAATAATTCTTAGGAGCTGTTTTCTATCCACTGGTGGTTGCTCCAAGTATTTGGAAGTACTTATTAAAAAGATGTGGCTTGAGTTTGGCTTTGAAAACAGAAAGGGATGAAGAATGTTTAGTTCACTCGGCAGGGGATTCGACGGAAAGGAGCACAGTGACTGAAAAGATCTTTGTCCAAGGGACTGACATTTGGAAGAGAGAGAAGCAACTGACCGCAGACCCCTGGCAGGGTTAAATTTATGTGGGGAATCGAACCCGCGCCTTAATCGTGACGAGATTTACCAACTAGGCTACACGTCGCCCCTTTACAATTTAGAGGACATGGCAACACAGTCAACTGATACAACGAAATCATAGGACTGTTCCAAGTTATTTCTTACATTCAGATTTCGTCTGTTCAGATGTTCGTTTGTGAGATTCGTAATCGTGCTGAACGTTCCTCTTGTGAAATTAAAAATTGCTTCGCTGCTTCGTTTTATCCGATGTTTTGTTTTATGCGATTGTTTGTTATATCCTTACTTTCTTTCCCATCTGACTTTTCATTATATCGGCGTTGACAACATGAGCATATATACTTTGGCTTATTATCAAATGTACACTGTATAATTTCATTGTTTTAGGCATTAGATAATGCATCCATATAAGTAACTACAACAACAAAGTTTATTAAATTGTTGTCCTGGCCATTTATGATATACGTCATCTTGATATTGGAGATATTGTTGTTATGTGTTTCGAGATCAAGAATACAGCACGTGTAACTCTAAAGGTATACTGTTAATCTGATTATGTCCATCATTAGAACAATATCACTAGAACAATATTTTCCCTGTGCCAAAACCACATTGGCATGTAAGAAGAGACAGTAAACCATTTCAGATTTTGATTAGCATCGATCAAGCAATCACTTTCTGTTTGAATGAGAACATCGAACATACATGTATCTGTTTATGAGGCTTCTGGAAGTAGATTGCTGGCGGGGAGAAATAGACAGACAAACCCCCACATAGTCATTGGAGAGATTGCTGTGTTGTGTACGAGCATGTGAAAGCTGCGCCATGGTACGTGAACATATGCTTTTCTCAAAACACAAGTGGTAGACAAGAGTCTTATCTCCATTTGGAAAACAAATATTGACAAACGAACCAAAGCAAAATTTAAATAAGAATCATTCAATCCCAGATTGTAAAGTGGCGTGTTAAATGTACATGACAAGGACATTTGCTTCAACCGAAGATAAAAGGAAGGGAATAAATTTCCTTCCAAATGATACCCCATAGATATTGATATTGAGATATTGGGATATATAAGATATTGAGGTGTTCATCCTTGGATGGCAATGCTCGGCTCCTGATTGACAAATATATCTCAGATATGGTCTTTGCTCCCAAGAATGATGAACGACTACCAGACTTTAATCACGGAGTGAGTTGTTTGCCTTTACATATTTTTGTGACGTGTGCAATATGCGGTTCATCTTTTTGCGAACCCCTGGTATTATCACTATTTGATAGTGATTTATTAACACATGTTTAGGACATAATCGGGTTCTTACAATTGACTTTGCTTTCAGTAAAAAAATCTTATGATAATTATGGAAAGGGTGCAATCGCTGTTTTTTATTTGATTTAAACCACAGTTATGTGTTTCTCCCAACTTATGCTACATATACAGAAACATATATATCGTTCACCACCTTACTTGCTAGCTATGCTGTTGTGTTCCGCTTCTACTGTTGATGATAATAGTTGTCCAGAATGAACTACAGAAACATATGTCATTCATGTATTCAATATGATAATAGTCTTGATATTTCCCAACAGCCCTGGTCTTTGTCAATGTGACGTACTTTGGAATAGTACTGTTATTAATTAACCTTTCCATTGATATTGTGCAATACCCTTTCGATGTCGTCCGCTGATCTTCATATAGGAAATCGTATGTCGTATCTCCTTTCTCGACAAAGTCAGGTGGAAAGTTTGTGAGAAGCCATCAGACACGCATTATCGTAATGGCTGTCTGATCTTTCAATATACTTAACGGGTTTCATTTTGGAAATGATTCTGTGGGTTTCTTTCTCATCGTCGGGAAATCAGTAAGTGGACAGGGAGCTTGACTGGAAAACACGTAAATTCTGACATTGTCCAAACGAATTGCATCATCTTTTCTTTGTTATTAAAATGTAACAATAGATTTACGCTTATAAACTGTGTCGTTAACAAAAGTATATCTGTGCAACTTATTGTGAGCGACATGAATGTGATTTCTTCATAGTCAGTCACCATTGTCTTGTCGTGTCTCCTTAAGATATATTGCAGCACGACGTTTCGAGCAACATGTTTTTAATTCTAGTTGCTTGTTATATTAGAACGTGTGTGTCTTGGTTGTATTGTCCCAAAGAAAAAAGTATTTATTTCAATGACAATTCTGATATAGATTTAGAGCTTACTTGTTTAGGGTAACCATACGACACTATAATGTTCACGGTTGAAGGAGATTGAATGACAAAGACAGTTACATCTTTCACAGTTGCGCATGCACCATTAGTTACATCTTGGACGTCATGGAACATACTGTCCCCGTGGTGAGTCCTACTTAGAATTAGTCCCAAGTCACCTACTCGTCGTATGATGCGACTTAATGGATCAGAAGGTCATATTATCAATCACGGTATTGTCTGTTTGGTTGCTCATACTATCAATCACTGTATTGTCTGTTTGGTTGCTCATACTTTCAATCACTGTATTGTCTGTTTGGCTGCCCATTCTATCAATCACTGTATTGTCAGTCGATTGCTCATACTATGAATCATTGTATTATCTGTTTGGTTGCTCATACTATCAATCACTGTATTGTATGTTTGGTTGATCATAAAGTGATTGATAGTATGTTTGGTTGCTCATACTATCAATCACGGAATTGTCTGTTTGGTGAAGTTAATTACGTTAACAACATTTTAGGGAAGATATTAGAACCTTTAAAACTTTTCAAGCACGCAACGGTTTTAGTTTACAGAGCAATGACGTCAGATGGCATTAGTCGTTTACATCCAGGAGGGCTGTTTTTAAACCACTTATGGAGTTCTCGTCGCGGAGCCGACAGTGAAAGATCACTGGGCTAGCGGATATGCATTAACGCCTTTTTAAAAGATGTTCCTAAATGGACGGAAGAAACAAGCAATTAACTGCATCATGGCGGCTAGGCGACTAGGTAATTGAGGTAATTTTCTGGACAAAATTGTAAGTGGAAGAAATTGAACACAGCTTTGGTTAGGAAATAGGCACTTGTGGCAATGAAATTGACCAGATAATTTGCTAAACTTTCTGATCATACGCTGTAGTTAGTTGAAAGACGAGGGAAGATTATCAAAGACCCGGACGTCATCCAAACTTCAGATACCGTCAATACGTCAACATATTCTTTTTGCTTGTCAAGGCCTGTGAAGATTATATGGGATCGTGTTGGCATTTTCGAGCAATTATAATAAAGGGTCTTAATCCCTTATTATCGGGACGTCGTCGAAACATCAAACACCGTAAATGCACATCTGTTTTGAGGAAATCAAAAACTCCTTTTTGATTCAACACAAATTAAATTTAGCTTTTGACAGCACGAGATGAAAAACAACGATTTTGAATCTATTTTGGAAATGATGAAAGTGTTTTTCAATCAGTGTTATTGATTACAACTTTTCAGTGACTTCGACGTTAAACTGTCCCTTTCAACATAACAACGAACACTTAGAAATGTTAGCTGTAGTCAGGATGCATGACTGAACTCAATTTGGTGAGTGGAGTAATGTCCCTTAGTCCTACTAGGATCCACTGGTTGTGAATTCGAATCTCACATTCGACTAGCTGTAACTATCAGTAGAATCCAATATACATGTACCAAACTATCACAGTAACAAGCACTTTTATGTACTCTACTGAAACGTTGTAGCTTTGCTCATCGAGTCTGTTCATTCGCTCTGGTCTAGTGCAACGTAACTGTATTAGACGGCAAATCATGCAATTGCTTAATACACAGCAGACCATGTGATAACTAAGCGTGATGGATATACTTTCGTTGCATCGATTTGCGTGTGCCAGTATGTGTGTGATTTTTCAATTCCGTTCAACTTCTGTTACACTTCGATGCTGTTCGATTTGAAAATCATTTTGTCATTAATATTTTTACAGAAACTATATTTTTACACAACCACTCATTGGCTATTAATTGATTTCACAATCAATTGGGGCTTCGATATGGCAATGTAATTGAAATGAAGCTGTTTTGTTTCATTTTTTAAACACTTTTGTCCGATAAAAAGAGGGTGTCATAATTACCAAAGTATTAACTTCTTCCCCACAAGGCCGGAGAAAACACACTCTACGTTCCTGCTCTGCTTTGCAGTTGATGACATCAGCAATGACCCTGACGGACACGCCCACACCGCAGGTCACAGAACAAGGCGTCCAATCCGTTGACGTCAAGTGGCAGGTGGGTGTGGTCACAGCAGGCTTTGGAGTTGTCACTGTTGGAGGGGCTGAAATTTCATTGTTGGAATAAATTAAGCATAGAAAGTATTTTCTGTCTATATCATAATGCCACAAAATTGGGATAATATTAGCAGTAGGTTTGCCGTGCTTCACTCAGTTCGTCTTTAACGTGTGTCCGTTCCGTGGCAGAAAGGGTTGCCATTTGCACATGCTACATGTGTATGTATTACGATATAAATCCACGGCACGTACTCAGGCAATGGGTCAGTATCTGACAGTGTCAAGGTGAACAGAAATATAATTCTGTTATACCTATACACAGAATTCGAGTTGTGCCATACTAGCAAACAAATGATCTGTACATGACAAGGTCCAACATAACTCTGGTTCGGATACAAGCACAGTGTCTGTTCATGACAGGGGGCATGGGTGGCCCAGTCGTCTAAGGCGCAGCGATTCGCTGTGCAGAGTTGCGTCCCTTGGGCACGCCAGAAACCTATGATTGTGGGTTCGAATCCCGGTTCGCCCCGATTATGTTTCTAGGTTTGTCAGCACCATACCCGTGCTCGTGGGTTTCACCGAAGTGGTAAACGTCTGAGACCTGCATCACTTCCAGCTTTCCTCCCACATTAAGCTGACACCCCGTGATGTAACTGGAATACTGTAAAAAGCGGCGTTAAAACCCAACTCACTACTACTACACTGTTCATGACAAGATCCCACAACACTCTAGGTCTATAATACTTACAAACAAAGGATCTGTACACAAGGTCCGACAGAACACCAGTACGAATACCTACAAACAAAGGTTATGAACACGACAAGGTCCCACAGAGCTCTAGATCTATAATACTTACAAACAAAGGGTCTGTACATGACCAGGTTCTGGCTCTCGAGCGCCATGGAGCTGTCTCTGTAAGCGAAGTCCTCCAATTTGTCACAAGTCCACTCCTTGCAACATTTGCCCGGGACGGGTAGGAGGGCGGGGTTCTTACAGTTTTTGAGGGACGGCTTGCTGTCTTCTTGGGGGCACAGACTGACACACCCATAGTAACCGTTCTGACACGTACACAGGCGCTTGCAGTCAGGCTTAAACTGTTCCCCGTCATGGTAGGTCGAGCCATCCATGGTACAAGACTTCTTCACTTTCGCTGCAATAAGCAAAAAAAACCATTCAATGTAAGAGACCCAAAGGTTATTATTCACCGTTTGATGTTTGGGTGTGTGTGTGTGTGTTGTTGTTGTTTTTTTTTTGTTTTTTTGGGGGGGGGGATATCTATTTATTTATTTATTTATTTTTATTTTTTTTTGGGGGGGAGGATTTCTCTGCTGGATAAATACCAAAGGCCAACATGTTGGAAAACCGATAAGTACTCCGTTAGCTCAAATATTGAAATTACTGTGTAGCAATGGCTTTTTTTCGCTTGCTTGCATTGGTTAAATCACCATCACTGGACATGCTAGATGCTCTGTTCAAGGTAAAGCAGTGCACGTCTTGAAGACATTCTACCTGAACCAAAAATCCAAGACCCCAGAATATGACGTGTCGGTCCCTAAATACGGGATATGTGTTGTGTATTACCCTACGTTAATGTGAATATAGAATGTCAACGCCAGAGAATAATCAATCTCATTATCCACTGAAACAGATTCCATTGGTCAGTGTCAATGTATGTCTTTTGAAACAATATTGTTTTGAACATTGAATGCAATACAACTACTTCTCCCTGAATGAACCCATGCAAACTATATGGAGGATATTGTTCTTGTACATGTTCACGTCAGAGGAACTGTTGAAATGTAAAATCCCAGTTCGCCTCGAGTGTTTTGTTAGGTTTGTCAGCACCATACCTGTAATGTGCTGGTTAATTTAAGTTGAACCTCACGGAACAATGAATCTATTCTCTCCCTGTTTTCCCGAGGTGGTTCCGACAAATCTGTCCATACATGCAATGAGTGAGTGAGTGAGTTATGCCGCTTTCAGCAATATTCGAGCAATATCCCATCGGGGGACACAAAAAGTGGCTTCAAACATTGTACCCATGTGGTGAATCGAACCCAGGCAATCGGCATGACGAGCGAACGCTTTAACCGCCAGGCTACCCCATCGCCCCTCATACATTCAAAGATATGGACAATGACATGGTTAATGCCTGTTACGATAATCGGTGTATATGCAATTTACATCATCAACTGTCAGCGAGACTGTTAGAGAGACATTGCATATATGTTTTGTCCCGAGTAATTGTATTCAAATTAGAAGTTTAAACATTGAAATCCACATGCTGTGTGAGTGTTGTTTTACGCTTGGCGGTTCATTCCAGCTACCAGCTACCAGGCAACTATTCCGTGTTTTTTAACTTTAATGCAGAGGGTCAGACAGGATAACAAGCACGGCTTGGTTTGATGCTACCAGGGGATCGAAACACCGAGTTCGCCTTCTCCGTGCACAGACTCTATCCACTTGACCAGGGAAGCGATCTGTTCATGCTTAGGGAGGGGGGGTGGGGGGTGGGGGGGTGGGGGGGGGGGGTGGGGTGGGGTGGGGGGGTGGGGAGTGGGGTGGGGGGGGGGGGTGGGGGGGTGCTTCGATATAAATTACTGTCACGATGAACTTTAGATAGGCAATTAACATTATCCTCTTGTCAGTGATAAGCATGCTCGTGACATTAACATCATGACGTTCAGTGAAAAACATAATGCATTGTTGTAGGTTTTACACAAATTTATGGTTTCCGAGTCTTGTATTGATCGAGTAATACATCTTTCTATCATCTGTGCTGCTTTCATGTTTCATCATCTATTCCTCTTTAAAGATGCTTCAGATTTCAGAATGACCGTGTGCTTATATGTAGGTCTTTGGGAAAACATCATAATGTTAATCTTTTTTTATGCAACGTAATGTCGTAAGATGTGAAAGGTTTCAATGTACATGTAGCGTCATGTGCTTGTTGTGTGTTACTCTGTGTTGTGTTGCAACTTTGAAATTCAAACTTTGAGTATATACACTTTGTATTTAGTAGGTTGTTGATTATGGTTGTGAACTAAATAACGCTTTAAGTTAAGATTATGAGCCGCTTTGAGTGAGTGAGTGAGTTGGGTTTAACGCCGCTTTTAACAGTATTCCAGTCATATCACGGCGAGTCAGCTTCATGTGGGAGGAAAGCCCGAAGTGATGCAGGTCTCAGACGTTTACCACTTCGGTGAAACCCACGAGCACGGGTATTGTGCTGACAAACCTAGAAACATAATCGGTGCGAACCGGGATTCGAACCCACAATGATAGGTTTCTGGCGTGCCCAAGGGACGCAGTTATGCACAGCGAATCGCGGCGTCTCAGACGACTGGGCCACCCGTGTCCCCTGAGCCGCTTTGAAAACAATCTTCGACGCTGCGTAATACCGCATTTTACCTCACCACGCCCCTTCCATATAAACAAACGTTATGTCACTGGTCTTGACATGCGAATTTTATCCCATACAATTAAAGTGCTTTAATGGATAAATTCTGGGTAATAGTTCTAACCCGGCACAATATTAAAGACATTATTCAACTTGCTCAAAGACTTGACAGGTATGAATTATGTGCTATGACAGCATTAATTTCCGAGTTCATAAGGGATCTTGAACGTGACTCCGTATTAAGTCCCTAAACAAGAAGACTAACAGCCGACACAAATGGCTGGAAATTGCATGCTTAGGGGGGCTTCGATATTAATAAATGTCACGATAAACTTTAGATAGGCAATAAACATTATCCTCTTGTCAGTGATAAGCATGCTCGTGACATTAACATCATGACGTTCAGTGAAAAACATAATGCATTGTTGTAGGTTTTACACACATTTATTGTTTCCGAGTCTTGTATTGATCGAGTAATACATCTTTCTATCATCTGTGCTGCTTTCATGTTTCATCATCTATTCCTCTTTAAAGATGCTTCAGATTTCAGAATGACCGTGTGCTTATATGTAGGTCTTTGGGAAAACATCATAATGTTAATCTTTTTTTATGCAACGTAATGTCGTAAGATGTGAAAGGTTTCAATGTACATGTAGCGTCATGTGCTTGTTGTGTGTTACTCTGTGTTGTGTTGCAACTTTGAAATTCAAACTTTGAGTATATACACTTTGTATTTGAGTAGGTTGTTGATTATGGTTGTGAACTAAATAACGCTTTAAGTTAAGATTATGAGCCGCTTTGAGTGAGTGAGTGAGTTGGGTTTAAAGCCGCTTTTAACAGTATTCCAGTCATATCACGGCGAGTCAGCTTCATGTGGGAGGAAAGCCCGAAGTGATGCAGGTCTCAGACGTTTACCACGTCGGTGAAATCCACGAGCACGGGTATGGTGCTGACAAACCTAGAAACATAATCGGTGCGAACCGGGATTCGAACCCACAATGATAGGTTTCTGGCGTGCCCAAGGGACGCAGCTCTGCACAGCGAATCGCGGCGTCTCAGACGACTGGGCCACCCATGCCACCTGAGCCGCTTTGAAAACAATCTATGATGTTATTCATTATTCCGATTTATATAGCAGGTACTGACTGTGGTGAAGTGAATACAGGTTCTTTAAGACTCAATATCTTTATCATCCTAGATTATTAATATTTGCCTGTCACGTATAGGAACCACGGGAGTTATTAATCGGCCAATATGAGTGTCGGTTCTATTCATGATATGTCCATAAATTGCAATACTTTTCCCCCTTTAATGCATCTTAATTGAGTTCAGGATGTGTCTGGGAATTTATTTCAGGCTAAGGTAACATGCTTTACAGCTTTCGTTTTGGATGTTTTTCCTTCTGGTTTCATCTAAGATGTTTATACAGTGCATATGAGACGATAATGGATGAAAGGTAATACAAATACCAATCGTTCCGTTAAGAACAGTATTCATCGTGGCCAAACTGGCTCGATTTCGTACCTTCACTGGTATAAGGTCACGCGATCGTTCTTTGGGATTTTAGGAACATTGTAGACGAAGATAATACACACATAGTCTCCCCATCTTAACATGCCTCTCCAACATCCATCCTAGTTGCTGTCTGAAGATGTCTTTGACAGGCATGGCATATCTTCCCCCACATCCCGATGGTGGTGTCTTATCTGACACCTTACCGTTTATCAATATTCCAACTGTATCATGTCTGGGGACACCAAGAATCAGAATCACAAACTGTACCCATACAACAAAGCGATCTTAATGCTACATTGTATAATAGCATCATCTAACACAGACATTACAATAATATAACTTTGTGCGAAGTTTGATGGTGGTTCAGGAGTCTGTCCTGGATCTGAAATCAGGTCTTCTACATGACGAAGGTACGCTGTAATTTCCACGACAGCCTGACAAAAAATTTAATTGGTTTTATTCATATATTGTTTTTATTTATTTATTATTTTTTTTAATTTATTTATTTTTTTTATTTTTTTTTTTTGGGGGGGGGGAATAATAATAGGATTACATTAATACTCAAAGTTTTCAATTGGCTTGCCCTTAATTAGGCACGATCGAAGTACAAAAGAAATCAAGGTTAAATGTTTCGAAATCAAACATAAACTGTTAACTAAAGTCGTTTACTATAATCAGGTAGAGGGAGACTGCGTTGCTTTATAAGGGACCACCCCCGTGGTACGAAGGGTCTGCCCCGAAGAACGGAAGGTCGGTGGTCGCCTGATACCAAAAGACTATGGGATTTGTTTGTTCCCTGGCTGGTTCTCGGGATTAATTGGATAAAACAAGGACCGGTCGGCTAGCATTCAGTATACTGTGTCAGAGAAAGGCATCCACGTAAAACTGCGGCATGGTATCTCGATGGGTTAGTGACCATAAAACCGACAAGTACAAGCAGCCACACCCACACACGCGCTATATAAGTACACTAATCTTCAACGCTGCGTAATACCGCATTTTACCTCACCACGACCCTTCCATATAAACAAACGTTATGTCACTGGTCTTGACATGCGAATTTTATCCCATACAATTAAAGTGCTTTAATGGATAAATTCTGGGTAATAGTTCTAACCCGGCACAATATTAAAGACATTATTCAACTTGCTCAAAGACTTGACAGGTATGAATTATGTGCTATGACAGCATTAATTTCCAAATTCATAAGGGATCTTGAACTTGACTCCGTATTA